CCTCCTGATAGATTCATTTGTCTAATATGTCATTGTGTGATGAAAGAGCCTCATATTGTCACATGCTGTTGTAACAAGATGTGTCGTGACTGTATACAACGTGTACATCATTCAAGTCAACCTTGTCCCACTTGTCGTGAACCTAATTTCAGTATTTTCTTAGAGAAACGGCTCAACAGTGAAATACTTGACTTGAAGGTTCGTTGTACCCACCACAACAATGGATGTGAGTGGGTGGGAGAGTTAAGAGATCTAAAGAAACACACCAATCCAGTGGATGGCAGCTGTGGGTTTGTTCAAGTAAAGTGTCCTTTTGGTTGCCCTGTACCATATCTTCGTAAAGATACAATTGATCATGAATCTGTCTGTACTAATCTTCCACCAGAGAAGCAGATTAAGAGAACAATGAGAATAACTGATCAGTTTAAAGAAGAATTACAAGCTACACTGAGTCAATTTCAAGAGCTGTATAAATCAGAATCAGCCCGTGTTAATGAGTTAACCACTCAACTTGAGGATACGAAAGAGAAAATGAAGAGCCAGTTTGAAGCAGAGAAGAAGCAGCTACTGGAAGAATCGAAGCAACAGATTGCACTGCTTACTCAAGAATTAAAGATGAAGAATGAAGAGCATCAACAGCAAATGATGCAGTTGCAGCAGGAATCTAAGAAAAAACAAAAAGAAATATTGGAAGCTTCAAATAAGCAATTAGCTGAGTTGAAGGAGAAAATGGAAAAGCAGCATCAAAGGCAACTAACTGATATAAAGGACAAAATGTCTATTGAATTAAAGGAGCTACTCGAGGAATCCAAGCAACAGATCACAATGCTTACTCAAGAAATGAAAATGAAGAATGAGGAGCATCAACAGCAAATGATGCAATTACAACAAGAATTTAAAAAGAAAGAAAAAGAGAGATCAGAAGCTGTCAATAAGCATTTAGCTGAGTTGAAGGAGAAAGAGAAACAGATGAAGAAACAGCATCAAAAGGAGCTCATTGATATAAAGGATAAACTGTCTACCGAATTGAAGGAGCTTTATCATGATGAACACAAGCAAAGAATGGAAGAAAGCAAAGAACAATCAAAGAATATTCATCAGGAATTAAAGCAGCACTATGATGAGGAGTACCAACAACAACTTAAAGAAGCTAAAAGAACACTTGAATTAGAAAAGAGAAAGCAACTTGAAGAAGTGAGGATTGTGTTAGCAGCTGAGAAAGAAAAATTAATAACCGAATATGTAGAAGAATGTAAGAAGGCAACAGCTGTAAGTAAAATGATTAATCTGCATGGTGTAGTTTTAATTCTAGTTTATTTCCAGGTAATCCAAACAAATCTACCACATCATGCACAACATAATCAAGCAATGCATACACACAATACAGTCAACCCTGTACCAGAGCAGGTTCCTCATGAGGGAGGTAGCAATGAAGGAGCAGCAGCCACTGGGGGCAGTAGTGCTGGTGATGGTAAGACCTTTACTGGTCTTAGTAAAGATGTTCTTCTGCTTATGCCTAAAGTTCGTGAGGATTGCTCTAAGAATATGCAATTCTTCCCTGAGGAAGGAAAAGCAATTATTATAGCATCTTCAGAGGAAGAGAGGGAGCAATGTGTAATGCAATTTCAAAATACGTATCAAGAAATCATTAAAAATCGTCAGTTGAAGTCTGGCAGTCTTGAAATACCACCTGCCTTTCAAATAGAAAATATGTTTGGTTTATTGGATGAGTTTGAAGCTAAATATAGTCAATGTCACTTCTCGTGTGATCAGAAAGCTCGAGTGGTTAGGATAGTATCAATGTCATCACGTCAATTTGATCAGGCAAAGAAGCTACTAGGTGATCGACTGACAAGAGAGAAATGGGAAGAGAAAACAGGAAAGAATAAAGGAGGAGGAGGCAAACCTGGGAAAGAAGCCATGGGATTTAAAATATCAACCAGACCTGGTTCGTCTGAAGTATTATCACTGAATAAAAATCGTAAGCTTACAGTAAAACAAGGCAATTTAGTAGAAGAAGATGCCGAGATAATTGTTAATGCTGCCAATGGCCAGCTAAAGCATGCAGGAGGAGTTGCTCTTGCTTTAAATAAAGCAACTAATGGTGAGCTGCAAAAGTTATCTGATGTTTACACGAGGAATTATGGTGA